TTTCTTTTTATTTTTTATGCTCGAGCTCGAAGTTTTCATTTCGACAGCATTTTAAAAATATTTTCTCGCATATTTTCTGGGATGCAACAAATGAAACAATTAAAATTGAACGCACAAATTATTTGCAGCTATTCAACTCATCGCGTGTTTTTTTCTTTCAGTGTATGTGTTAGTATTACGCACTTTACAAAAGCGTTTAACGATCATATTTAGTTGTTGGTTTTTGTTACAGTTGAATATACAAATTATCGATTCCTCCCCTCTTGGGAGTCGATCTCTCCACAACCCGCTCTTGGGCTGAGAATCTTTGTGTTGATTTATCTTTCTGCAGCTTTGTTCTTCTGCGTTGTGTTTATAAATAAATTACATTACATTTCTTTGTATTATAGTTAGTATTTTATGTGTGTGTATATATATATATATGTATATTTTTGTTTATAATATTTATAGTATGCATTCGCTTTGCTTTTTATGCTATTCTTGTCGTACTCCTTTTGCTTCTCCATCTTCTTCTTCATCCAGAGACTAAAAACTAAAATTCGTTAACGCGCCGCATTTCGTCACTTTACAACACTCCGTTGGCTGTTGTTGGTGGTCCAATGGGACCAAGGGCGGAGCTCACTCCCACAGTGCCGGACGACTCTGAGATGGCTGGCGATGTCGGCTCGGCCATCGAGATGCTCCCGTTCTCCTGCACGGCACAGATGCTCGGCGATCCGATGCTGTTGGTGGTTGTGGTCACAGCACTGCCGGCCACAATAGATGTTGAGGAGGGCGTGGCCACGGTGGTACCGGTTGCACTGCTGTTGCTGATGCTGCTGTTGCTGTTGCTGCTGTTGGTGTTGGTGTTGCTGCTGCTGCTGCTGCTGATGGCGGCCACTGTTGTGGTTGCTGATGTGCTGGCAGTGCTGGTAACACCGACGCTGGCCGTGGCAGCAGTTATGGGATTCGTTATCTTCATGTAGTACTTCTCTAGCTTGGCGTTGATGTGCTTGCCATAGGTGTACTTGCGCAAGGCGGTCATGTGGGGTCGTATCTTGGTCATCAGCTTCTTCAGCTGCGTCGGCTCCGACACGTCAATCATCTTCTGCACCACATAGTTGGCATACTGGTCCTTCATCATGACGTGCAAGGCGCTGCAGGACAACCACGCAAGAGGGGCCGGCATTAGTAAGCCACATCATGTATTTACAGATTATGCGCATTTACATGCCCACATTATATTTATTAGGCTACTTACTTGTCATTGAATGTGCACACCTCATCGATCAGACCCGTGCGCTCGCTGCGCGTGGCATGTGTCACACACTTCTCCACCACGTTCGAGGCAAACTTGTGTTGCGACAGCACCAGCACCTTGCCACGCACGCTGTTAATCAGTATCGATTTGTCCTCCTGCTTGCCATGCTCTGAAACAATTACACCAAAAATGTATTAACATGAGGGACGTTACGCTGAAACGCGACACACAGGACAGGGCGTGCTCACAGCCCAAACCCGGATATCTTGATTCACCACTGGCCTAAGTCTAATTCGATTTCGTACGAAAGGACTTGCCCGACTTACCTAGAACGTGCTGAATGACATAGTTGCCATATTGGTCTTGGATCAGGTTCTCTGTATGCTCGTGCAATTCGTCCAAAATGGGCGTGGTCTGCTCGGGTGTGCAGTGCTCGAGGATGCGTTGAATGACCCGGCAGCCATAGGGATGTGTGCTCAGCGAATAGACCTGACCCTTGAACGCATTGATGACAAACTGCAGTGCAGCGGGATCGACGCATTCGATGCATTTCTGCACGACATGGTTGCCATTCTGATCTTTGACACACTTGAGGACATGTCCGTCCAGTTCGTGAACGATCTCTTGCTGTTGCTCAGGAGAAATGCTCTCCAGCGCCTTCTGGATCACGCGACAGCCGTACATCTGGAGCGCCAACTGCAGCACGTGACCTTTGACCTGCATGCCAAGCGTGTTCTTCTGCTCTGGAGTACCAAACTCAAAGAACTTCTGAATTACATAGTTGCCAAACACGTCTGTCATCAGGCTGTAGGCGGCGCCCAGAATTTCATTGAAGACCATTTGCTTCTCGGCGGCTGTGGCCCGTTCCAGTTTCTGCTGGATGAAGCGTGAGCCATGCTGATCTTGCGAGAACTCCACAATGTGGTTGCTCAGATCGCGCAACTGCAAGTTCGGATACCGCTGATTCCTGAAATCCTCCAGCAGGCGCGACCTGCCCGGCTGTGGTGCGCCGGTTGCACCGGCAGCAGCAGCAGCCACCGCAGCAGCGGCGGCCACCTGCCTTGAGTTCGCCACGGCAGCGGCCACGGCGGCGGGCGTTGTGCCCGGCAGCGCCAAGTGATTCGAGAAGAGCGAACTGTTCGACCCGAACATATTGTTCGCTGCGGCCGCAACTGCCGCCTGGGCCGCTGCCGCTGTGGCCGGCAGACCGACCGCCAGCTGCTGGCGTTGGCGCGACTCGGCGCCGGGCGCCCGATTGCCGCCCATCAGGCAGGACTGGCCAGTCGGCGGCGGTGTCAACGGTGCGCCCAACGGACTGGCCGAGGCATTGACTCCCGCTGCGCCCAGCGCTCCGTATGCGTTGCTATTCGACATGGCGCCGGGCCACTTGGCTCGCGCTGCAGCCGCAGCAGCTGCAGCGGCTTGAGCCACGCTGCTGTTCACCGCATTGGCGGCGGCGACGCTGCTCGTGGTGTAGTCCATGGCCGAGGGGCTGAACGCAGATGTGGTGCGATCGAACGAGTCGCGACGACCGGTCAATGAGTTCGTGTTGAGTGCAAGGCCTAAGAAGAAGATGAAGAAAAAGAGATTTGATTATTGCTTGCAGAGTCAAATACTAGAGGAGAGGCAACTGGAGAAAGTGGCATATGCTTAAATTATATGATTATATAACATATTTAGCTTAAGATTTCAATTATGGTCGAATATTATACAATTTATATTAAATATAATTGATTATACATATAATATAATAATTTATTGTGTTAGTTAAGATATAAAGCAATATGTGAAAATAATATGAAATGTAATTAAACTATTTATTATTCTGATAAACAAAAAATACACACGTATATATAAACTATAAATCAAATGAAATGATAATGAATTAAGTTAACTTTCATATTATCAATGAGATATGATGTCTGCATATAGTACAGCATTATGGCAAAGAGCGCATATATTGCTTACAGGCAACTACAATATTCCCATACTAACTAACCATAAAAAGAGCTGTAATGCATGCCAGATAGCCGAGGCATATATTCCCAGCAGCTTAACGACATTCAGCGTCTATTTCAGGTCACTATTTACTAGTTAAGCAAAGAGCCAAGAGGGGCAGAAGAAAGTGACAGTGAGAGAGAGACAGAGAGTCTATGCGCTATTTTGTAATTAATCGAGTTACAACACTGAGTTAAAGGCCTACAGTAGGACGCTCGTAAACTTAATTGCCTACTTTTAAGGCGCAGCTGTGGCGCACCGTTAGTTTCAGTTTGATGCGGCTGAGTTGGCAAACGAGAGAGAAAGAGAGATAGAGTAAGAAAGAGAGAGCAGCAGCAGGCCACCCACTTACACATTTAACTGACAGCCAGTGAGTGTAGTACTCGTAATGTCACCCATTAAGGGAGCACATATGCGTTCCAAGAGTCGCACTGCAAAGCCCTAGGGATATGTAAAGGAATGTATATGGAAGGAGTGAGAGTGAGTGAGTGGGAAGATATCTAAAAAAAAAAAATTGGGGCAATGCTGTAAGCACAAATAAAAACAGCAGCGACTGAGATAGAGGAAGAGGAAGAGACAGAGGGACAGTGAGGTGGGTCGCTGCCAACTTGATGGATGCTGTAATATGTCACTGGCATTGATTTGCACAGAGGAGCAGAGAAAAAAAAAAAGGGCAGAATTTACCGCCTGACAGGACATGTTTTAAGCAGCTAAAAAAAAAAGAAGAAAATAAAACAAACAAAAAGAAGAGTGAAAGTTTTGCGCCTGCGAAAATGCAATGCCATTCAGAAGCGACAACTTACATTCGGAGCCACGGCGCTGGCAACTTTACGCCCTAATGAATTCATTGCCTGCTGCCGGCTGTTGCATGCGGCCGCACCCCCTCCCCCACCACCACTGCAGACAAGAGAAGAATGCTTGCGGCAAGCCTTGCACACGAAAGCCCCCGCCCATGGGGAGGGGAGGGTGCGGGCTGACTACTGCGCAAATTAATTTCATAAATTTCTTTATAAATGTCGTCCTCAACTGTGCCATAAACACCGAGCGATTGCCTTCTCCTAATGAGAGGCGTGGCCCACATGCCACATGTGTGTGCCATATATATATGCTATATATTCAGTTAAGTTCCGCTATCTCGACCTTACGCCAGAGAATCGCAAAGATTTTAAGTGCAGTGGCGTGAAAATTGCCAAAGTTTAACATTTTCAGGGGGAGAAGTTTATATTGCTCTAGAATTATTAGCTAGAAAAAAGCTGAAATTTGATTATAACTGTTAAATGTTGTCAAACTAATTCAGTGTTGAATAAACTCAAACAGCAGCTGAATACAGTGTTGTAGAACGATCAACTAAACTACCCAAATCATTCAAATGTGTTGCAAAATTAATCTTGGTCCATCCAAGTGTGTGAAAACAGTATTGCACAACGTCGTTAGAAATGGAATTGTAATTCAAAGCCGTCAAACGGGTCTCATCTATTTCCTAGTCCCTGCTGCTCTACAGCTCAATGCGACACTTAATTGCAAACAGGGGGGGAATTGTAAATTTTACTAGGATTGCCAGCAGCCAGTGTTGCAAAATGGGGGGGTTAATAAATGACAACAACAATTTTCGCGTGCTCGTCGACGCGTCTGGATAAAAACTTTTAATTTTTGCATTTAAATTGCAACTAATTTGGCGCACTTCAGCGTCGCGACTGCTAAATTCCATTTCAAATGCAGGCAATGAACACGACCAGGGGGGGCGTGGGCGTGCAGGCTATAGGGCGGGGTGGAATGGATTATGTAGTACAAACAATTTGCGTCAATGAAAGTGTCGAGTGGGCGGCCTGCAGCAGTCTGTGCACTGGACAGGATTGGGGACTGGGCCACAGAACTACTCTTCTGCTTTGGATGTTTGCCAGTTTGTTTATTTTATTTGGTGTTACAGCATCTCCCACCCCCCACAGCATTACCCCTCTGCCGAGTGTTGTGCCGCGTGGTAGTTTCAACAATTTAAAAGGGAATTATTCATGCAATTTGTGTGTGCCAGAGATCATGAAGAGAGAGAGAGAGGGAGATATCCAAGTATCGGTAGTCGAAAACAGTCGTAATAATTAAGAGCGGGAACTACCTGTCTTTTACAGCCATCTCACTTTACTCCACACCCTGCCCATTTATCTAACGTTGCGAGCTATGTCTGACAGGACTCCATCCTCTGCCTGCGTCGGTTTGCCTCTCTCTCTCTCTCTCTCTTTCTCTCGTTCTGTGTCGCGTGTGGCAGCAAGGACACTTTGCGAAATGAAACTGCAGCATCTCTCACATGTGTACATATAGACACACTCACACACACATAAACATGCTTGCGTGTGTCTGCGTAAGTGTGGGGCATTAAAAAGACGCCCCGGTTTATAGCAGGCGACATTTTGTGGTTTATGCACACGTTCCACATGTGAGCGGAGCAGCAGATGCCACCTCATAGACAAGCCCCCACCACGCCCCGGTGCCTGCACAACCTAATGTAATCATTTTATGAATTATAAATGCACACACGTGCGCATTATGCACATCTACCAACACACACACACACACACACACACACACACACACACACAGAGACAGGTAGGCAGTAAAAAAGAAAACGCATTAAATAAAATGTTTCGAGTTATTTAAATGCCCGGAAACTATTGCCAAGTACGAACGACGACCAAAGAGCTGGGCAAGTTTGTAAAAGCCGTTAAGTGGGCTATCAAATAAACAGTGTTGAGAGCGCTTTACACAAAAATGTAATTAGTGTTGGAAAAGCCGGCATAAAGCGCAAGCCTGCAAACGGAGCTGGCCCATCACATGAAGCTGTAACTCAAGACAGCAATTTGAGTGCTACTCGCGAGATGTCTTTGTATCTTTAAGATGCATCTTAAGCGAGCTGCTTAATGGATAGAAGAGTGTACTTGATGCATGTATGCGTGCGAGTGTATGAAGTTTTCGTTTATATGAGCACATACATACGCACATATATAGTATATGGTTATTGGATGGCACGCATAATCGTCTGCTTTATTAATTATATTAAAATCTCTCAGAAAGTAGAGCTCTGTTGCTGTCTTTTATATCGTAACTATATCTGGAGTACTGCATAGCTACATCCATCCGTTGCATCACTTAATTAACACAAACGTATTTATGATTTGATTTGAATGCTTTTCATTTGCATGCGGTATCGTTAGCTAAACGCAACTAGGTTAAGTATGCCACACGTGCGAGACAGGCCCACTTTGAAATGACGCCCCCCTCCCCCCTGTGGCGCCTGACAATCAGTCAAAAATCAATTAAGTGCATTTGTCATTACGCTCTTCTTGACATGGTTTGGGCTCACCCATTCAACACACACACACACACTTCAGACCGAAGTCTGCTGATTGCGAATTGTGTCTCACACACACACACACACCGGCTCGAGACTCTCGAGTGCTGTGCACAACCACTAGCACACACACACACACACCTATACACCCACACAGCCACACACACACACACACACACACACACACACACTCACACACATATCTCAATTGCAATTAGCACTAAGGCAAGTGAGTCGCTTCTCAATTGTTTGGCACATCCCGCGCGCACTCCCCTCTCCTGCTAAATGGCAGGCTCGCTTACCCCCCTCCCACTCATTACTGTAGTGCTGCCATCGATGCGCCAAGACAACAATTGTAAGCCTCATAGCCAAGTCACGAGTCACATGCACAGGCCCAGGCTCAGTCCCAGGCCCATCCATGCACTGCCACAGCAGTCACAGTGTCAGCCCGCTGCACAGCCTCCCCCGGCCACGTAGCTCCCTCGAGTCCGGACTCCTTTGGGCCTGCGTGCAATGTCAAAAAGCTTTTTAATGGAGATTATATTGTTTTAAGTGGCTGCACATCTCTCTGCCCCACGCACCCGGCATACGCTGCCTAGCCACCCTGTGGGTCTGTGCGCAGACAAGCTGCAATTACAAACGTTAATGCGTGCACACACATACTTACATACAGCGTGAACGAACAGTGAAGGGGGCTTATGTGTCTCTGTGTGTGTGTGTGTGTGTAACGCACACAGACTTGACTTTGCAACCGCCAAAGCATTTGGATGTGCTTTGCAATATTGCGAAGGAGAAACAAGCGACCCGGCACCACAGAGCAGATCAGACGGAAGGCTTCCTTAGGCACCCTTTCGATTTGGCTATGCCTTTGCCTTGCATCCTGGCCATGCCCACAAATTATTATGTACACCTTTCACATGTTGGCAACATGTGATTGCATTTGGGGGAAAGTGAAAGCCAGCAACAACAGCAACAGCAACAGCAACAACAGCACAAAAGGCAAAGCCAATGCCAAAACCATTTTACATTTACTCTAGCTGCTATCGCTGCCCTTTTCCCACTATGCTCGTGCTCTGTCTGGCATAATGCTCGTTTTGTTGTTGTTGCTGCTGCTGCTGTTATCCTTGTTGTTCACTGCAACCGCCTGCTGCTGGCTTTTGTGCAAATGAATTCGTTTATTTTGTAAAATGTCAATTGCTGCTGGGCCACAGACGAGCTGCAGCAGCTGCTGCAATTGCGTCGAGCAAGGAGGTTTGTGGCATGAAGGTGGCAGAAGCAGCAATGCCAGCTTGTGAATGATTTTGTACCACATGCAGCAGCAGCAGCAACAGCAGCAGCAGCAACTTGTTTGACACTTGCCGCAAAGGAGAGCCAGCTACTGTGTGTGCGGAGGTGAGTGACAAAGAGCGACTCATAGAGCGGGAGTGCGAGAGAGTGAGAGAAAGAGAGAGAGAGAGAGAGAGAGATAGAAAGGCGAGTACTAGGCAGCTGCTGCACTTTGCGCTTAATGAAATTCCCAATGACGTGCACAACATGGCGTATGCGTAACGTTGTTATGTAAGCGACACGCTCGAAACACAATTGATTAGACATAAGCATTAGTTAAAGTGAATGAGACTTAGAGCATAATTATACCATTAGAATAGCTAGTATTTAGTAGTGGTTGAGAATGTGCAAATGCACTAGACAATATGCAGGGAATATAATTAGGTTATTCATGCGAAATATTCAATAGCAATTAGCCGTGGCTATGTAATGATATTTTATTGAATATCTACTACTTTCTATTATATT